AGTTCATCAGTGCAGGAACAAAAAATAAACCTAAAGTCATGGACAATCGAGAGTATCTCTCTCCCTTTTTCGAATATTTCCGCGCGCAAAATGTGTGTGCGAAATATAGTTAGGCGCGTGCGTTCGTATGAAATTTTCTTCACTTTATCTGTCGCGTCTAGTTTTCGTCTGAATTACGTTTCTTCTTCCCTAGAGACTAAAGAAAAAGTTCAAAATCTCAGCTAACGAGAAAGAGCGATATGCTTGAACACATTTTAAATGAACATTGAAGGAAATATTTTCAAAAACTTAAAGGAAGGACTGTAAAAAGAGTTGTTATCATACCCGCGTTTCAGGCCACTATCGGAGAGATAATTCCTAATTATACACTTTACATTTATTCAAATTGCATTCTCTTCGAACGACACGTGCGAGGGGCCTATTACAGCTGCAGCGTAAACCGCGAGACCGCGAAAAGACGCAATAGGTGATGAAGAGAAAAGACAACGTGCGCGAAACGTGAGGTTCAGAAGTCGGATACGCAAAACGATCGAAATAATCGCAGTTGCAAAGCAGCTCTTCCTACTGAACGTAGCCTAAACACTGGTCCAATGTTGGTTATATTTATTAGAAATGCATTGGCCGATATTGTCCAACGTAAAGCCAATATTGGCCATGGAATACAAGTAAATGTTGCACGATAATAATTATATAATATTAGATTTATATTGGAAGTATATTGGCCAATATTTAACAATGTAACAAGAATATTTGTCTAATATTGTATTAATATTAGACCAATGTTGCTGAATAAACATATTGGCTAAATAAGAGAAGGCATCCATCTTACAATATTGGACTAATATCAGGAATACTAGATTTATATTATTTCCCAATATTGCGCTACTAGGAGTATCACACGCTCGTTCGCCACCTGGGACGAATCGTCCGAATAAACGTCGAATTGTTGGGTGAGGAGGTCGCCGCGGGATGCACGACGATAAGGATTTATATCTACGGAGAAGTAAAAGAATAAGGGCCTGAGCAGAATGATCGTCTCTTTGTACTACACCTAAGACACAAGACAGTTATTGTGCGTTACTTCAAGAGAAAGATTTAAAACAAAACATTGTCTTGAGAATACAAGACAGCCATTCTGCTCGGGCCCTAAGGGTGCTATTATACATTTGTCGCGCGACAAATTTTTCAAGAGTGTCGATTGGCTGCAGGATTAACAAGATAGAAAATTTCTAAGTACTCGGGAACTTTTCTATCCTGCGGCCAATCAACACGCTTGAAAAATTCGTCGTACGACAAATGTAACGCCAGCCGCAGCGTCGGGGGAGGGTAAGGGGGGGAATATATCCTTCCCGTCCTTGTCGCGTGATGCCGTTTCGCGCTTTTTGTTTTCGTTAACGTTACGTTCGTCGGCGAAATACGTAAATGCTCCGGACTGGTAGTGAACTTTCTCTAAACTCTCATCCGTCGAGATAGATGAGGATACGCGCGAAAAATCGTCTCCTACGCGGCACAACTGGATGGCTCAACCCTGGGTTGCAGGTAAACACGCGACTGCAGAAATTAATTTAGACTTGCGGTGTGAATCTTGTGAAATCATTAAGAATTAATAGTAATATAATACTAATGTTATAATGAAAGCACTAGTAATCGTCTCAAGAACATTGTCAATGTTGAAGATGTTACATTGCTCGTGTCCCTGTTTAAAATAATAGATAGAAGATGCATGATCAGATTACGTTTGATTGCAGGCAAGAGTCTTATTAATTTACATTGAAATTGCAGTTAATCTAATGTAATCTGATCATATTCTAATATTTTAAACAGGGATGCACACGTACAACTTAATCTAATCTTGGAAGTATTTTATATTCTAGCACTATATTCATTTCCTCTTTTCTGTGTTTAACTTTAGCTCGTGGCTAAATAAAATTTGCGAGTGGTAAAGTTTTTATCTCATAATCTAAATTCTAGCTCATCAAAATGTAGATAAGTAATTAATGCCTGAAGTATCCGGTTTTCAGTAACAAGAAAGAAAAATATCCGCGACGTAACTTAGTAAAATTTGCGAGCGGTAAAATTTTTATCACTGTAGCTTATCAAAATGTAGAATAGTAACACATTAAATATTCGATTTCAATAACAGGGAAGGAAAATGTCCGTCGAGTATTAGAATTTGGTTAGAACGTGACGTAAAGTCAAATTCGTAATTTGTGCGCTCCAAGTGCTAGCGTATATCCGTTAGCGTGCAATGACGGTCTGACGCAGATGCTAAACGGGCAGATTATTAAAATCGTGTAGTGATTAAAATTGACGCTCTTTCGCGAGAAGGAAAACCGGGAGGGAAGTACCACGCGCGGATGTGTCGGTCCGTTTCGTAACATTTCTACATCCACGCGTGTCTTATGCGCGCATCTGCTTTCCATGGCCCTTGGATTTTGCGGCCATGGCCCGTCGCGCGGTTGGTTGCTTGGCTAAGCCTCCGCGCAATGTAGATAATTTGCCTCTTGCTCTCACATGAACACAATGCTTCGTGTTCATCAATTTGCCGTTATTCCTTACGCGTTCATCGCGCGGCCTTCGCGATCGGGCCCGTTCCAAATTATGTAATATGCAGCAACATATATATATATATCTCTCTTTTTGTTCTCTCTGTCTCTCGCGACGTTTGCAACGCATCTGTTTTAATCTGACGAGTTTAATCCGTAGAGAATCCGTTCTCTGCTTCTTTTTGCTACGCTGTAGAACAGGTTCACTCTTCCAAGTATGTAGGGGGATAGTCAAGGTGATACGTAACGCGAAAATCGTAACGTTTCTCGCTCTTTGCGGGATCGTCGAGAAACGACGGCAAATATATGGTATTCTACGACAGTCGAATTATTGTGACGGACAAAATCTGATAACAAACGGTCGGCAAGTGTGACGAGTAAAGTCTATAAAAATTGCTCGCTTACGTCATGAATTATAATAGACGGGCTGCAACGAGCAACCTAGGAAGTTCTTGTAAAACGAATCGAACGTCATCGATTGACGCGAGCTGGCGACTGCCGGTTGCCGGTTCGGCGTTGACCTGGCGAAACGGGGAATTCCCTTCGGAACCTGTTCCATGGGATTCTTGCCAAAGAAACGCGAGCCGATGTCCATATCGATTTCATTCGCCTTATTTGTAAAAACCAGCCGCACAAAAATATCACCTGACTCGCGATACGAAATGTCGCTCTTTTCACTTCCGTCTCCATTAATCTCCCGAATATTGGTTTCGCGATGCAATCCGACTTTACCGGGACTTGCATATCGTATTTCGATATAAGAATTTAATTTAATTTAATGTATTGCAAAAGAGATACGGCGAGAGAAAAAGTAATACAAAAGGATCGAAAGCAAAAGGCACCAACAAAGGCTGTTACAAAGTCTGCCTGCTGAAATTTGATATAAAGGAATCAATATGCCCTTGACAAGCTTAATACATATGGATTTAATCTGCTGTATTAAAGATATAATCGACGAGTGAAATGTCACGACGGAAGTTTTGTCTCGCAAACATCGCTTAATCGTATCTTATCTCAAGAAAATGACGCGCATATTAATTAAGCGTATATCAGTGTTTATCAGTAGAATCTAACTTTTCAGTGTCGGGAGCGTCTCATTAACAAATGTTACCACGCTGTCTCTAGAAAGTTATAATATCGCTTCGCATATATAAAATGACGTGCAGATATCAGGGAGCTGAAATCGCCGTACAGAAATTAACCGTTCGTTAGAAAAGAATTTGTTGCATCCGCGAAGTGAGTGTTAAAATGTGCGTCTGTTTCGCGAGTACAGCAGGTAATTGAAATGCAATTAAAAGTGAAGCGGATTTCTATTCTTTAACCTTTCCGACGTGCCAGTGTTCGCGAGCGTAAATAATGGTAGATTATCTTCAATCTTTGATTATTATAATTAATTGCAGTCTCGTGTACGCAGGTTATTATTCGATTATTTAGATTTATTTTTCTTTTTTGCGCACTGAGAAAAATGCTTTGATTGCACCAACAAGATACGTACGATAGAATGTATTTTGGTTAAACCAAAGAGAATTTCTAGTTATCACGTTAGGGCTCGATATTTCATAACCAGAAGTTCGATAAACTTCACTACACATCTAGTAAATCCTAAAGAAATTCGGATTCGTCTACC